GTATACCTGTATAATTTGCATGCTTACTTAGATCACTGTGTTTTGTGATAGATCTGTAGGCACATTTATACTTAGGTATTCCATTTCGTATACCTGTATAATTTGCATGCTTACTTAGATCACTGTGTTTTGTGATAGATGTAACTCTGTTTTGTTCATAATACGTCTGTTCTTAGCTTGTGTTGCTGGTGTTGTTCTTTTGGGAGCAGGTTAAAGGTATATATTTTCATAAATGTTTGTTTCAATCAAATTGTTTCATTGGCATTTTTAATGCTACAGGTAATAAGTGATTATATGACAAGTATATTGTTTTGGGTGTCTTATTGGGACTTTCATAGCCGAGCGACCTATTTGTGCGAATGACTTGGTTTATAACTCTAAATAGATCGAGTGTAGGCATATTTATAGATGCTTGATGTTTTTGCCTGGCATTCGTCATCTTGACATCACGGAAATCGGATTAACTATTATCTGTAGCAACCAAGACTACATGCTGTTTACCGTAAAATGGTCTCTCCAGCTCGTCATGACAAGACACAATTTAACTAGGGGAAGAAAGAAATTTTATTTTTCTTAGATTTTCAACCGGGAAAATTCAGCTGACAGGTTTCCCCCTTCTCCTGGCTATTATCTACATCCCTGTGTAAAATACTTGAAATACAGTTTAATATTTTCAAGTATAACTATTTTATTAATTTAGATATTGCAACATGTAACATAAATATGGTGTTCAGTAACAGCGTGTACATAGGAAATATTTAGGCATTGATGACCCAATGTTCTAAGTCAGAACCACCAAATAATTTTCTTTTTACCATCCTTTGTTATTATATATTTAATATTATCAACAGTTTAATTAAAAGGTCAAGTAGTGGATGGTTTACTTAATTAAAAGGCTGGGATATAAAAGGGCCACACTGCTTAATTCAAGGGGGTTTGGTGGCATACACCCTCAGAAAATTTTGAAATCTTGAAGTTCAGAAATGCAATTTCCATCTTTTTGTGCATCAAATCATTAGATAATGATTATCCAGAGCTTTCAATAAAAGGCAGCTACTGGCGGTTCATCGCTGGATACTTCACTTTAAACTGCAGGCTATTTTGACAAAAAATAAATTCATTGCCAAATAAACTTCTTTATCAAACTCATTATTAATTCATGAGGAAAACACAATAGAAATCACGACTGTGAAGAGTGTTGTAAATCTGATTTAAAATTATGTTCATTTGCATAAACTTTAAGTTGGATTTTCTTGTCCAGATTCACTTTAATTTTGAAAATTTTAGTGAAACACAAAGGAACTAACCTAGACATTTGATAAGTAATATACAATATTCGTGTCCATATTGTATCCAATATACAAACTCTCGGCTACGCCTTGACTTTGTATATCTGATATACCCCCTTCCCCCTCAGCTACCCTTTCCTTTATGACTAGTCCCTTACAAGGTATGATTTATAAAAGACAAAATTTTTTGAGATGGATATCTTACTATGAGGTGAAAATCTTTGGCTTTGACATACTAAAGATTGAAACAGTTGCTGTCAATTTTTTTCAATTTCAGGGGGAATTGTTAATGTAATATACCAGGTTGCTGTATAAAATTTTACGTTGCCATACCTTTGAGGGAGAAATTATAGAAAATAAAAATAAAAATTGAATATATGAATTAAGTGATTCTGAATGTCCTTGCCTGGTTAAAGTATTTGACTATTTAGGGGCGAGGTCAAAACGGTCTAAAATAGGGACCCGATTTTATGAATTAAGGTGGTGGGTACCAGTACATACCCCCTCCCCCCTCAGAGATCTCTTCAAATGCTCAATACTGGGGGTCTGTAGTGGCAATTTCTATGCACAAATAGGTTTTTTAGCATACATGTAGACAGACAATCCATTCATTTCTGTTTTCTTTGATTTGGCTTTTAGTTTTGGAGATATTCGGGGACAAAATCTAAGATTTCACTTCCAGAGGTGGTATGTACCGGGTAACACCATCCCTCCACCCTAAATCGGGTCCCGTGAGATGACAATTGTTTTGCCTTCATCCCTTACAAACCTTTCACGATAACCTAAGTTTGGGCTTCCTGTTGTGGTTTCTCCGGGCGACTCTGGGTTCCAGCCTTGGTAACCAAGTAACTGCCCTCAAAGCTTCAAAATAGATGGTGTCTAACTTGATGCCTAGCGTGGAAATTGTAAGTTTGAGAAAACAAAGTTTGAACTAAATGGAAAAAGATACACAACACGATCGAAACATGTTAGGGATTGAAGGAAGTGAAGGCCATCATTTGGGAGCCTTAACAGATGAGCAACAAACAAATCTCAACAAGTTTAAGGTAGGTCAAAAAAAAGATGTAGTTTTTAATGTAGCCTCTTAGCATAAAGTTAAGCTCATAAACAGAAAAACAGACCTTACTTTCCATCCAGTCCTGAAAGATAAGGTCTTATAACGGACTCCTTTCAATGCAATAAATTAAAGGTGTCAAACAGGGCCTTATTTCTATGCGACCTGTTTACCTTATCAAGTCAAGCAAACATCACCGAACCAATAGACGGCTTGCACTAACAGTTCAAGTGACCCTACCTCCCTTAAGACGAGCAGTTGTGCGAAAACGAACTTTAGAAATGAAAAGAGCAGCTCAGCATTAGTAAGAGGGCGAAGTTTCAGCTCATAATTTTGACTGTAAAATAAATGGCATTAAATATAAAATCGAATATTTAACATTTTCATTTGTTAAAACTCTGCCACCCTACTACCGTCGTTATCACCTTAACACCGACACTAAAACATGTTCTCATTGGTTGCCGAAACATTAGAAGTCAGTCAACTGGAATGTTCATGTTTCAACACGGGCCTTCCCACCAACAAAGTATTGAGGTCGCCAGTTTTACGTCATTCTATAGAAGAATGCATTGCTAAAGAAGACTTTCCAAGGGACATCCATTTGGATTTGTTACAATATGCATTTCATTTACCTCTAACAGAAGTCTGAAGTATTGGCGAGAAAGGGATTTTGATTCCTTAGATTCTTTTAGTTCAAGTCCTGGAAGGTCATCGCGTCGACTGTTAATGAATTCTGTGGCGAAAATTAGAACACCTAAAGGGAAAGAGACTCCCACTTTCAGTGAAGCTCATCCCTTGTTTAACACCATGATTTTTTTGAATTGTCAAATGTTAATTTTTTCAAAGTTCTGATGTTGGATCTTTTGAAGCATGCTCAACGGTTCCTTAATTGCTGTTGATATCGTTTAACAATTCTTGAAACTGTTGAGGGACCTATTCTTAACCTTCATCCAATATGTCTAATTGATGCATTCCCTCCAAACTCAACTATTTGGTTCCTTAAATCTTGTGAGAGACTTTCCCCTTTTTCATAGCACAACCAAATTGGTTGACAGAGATAATTGTTTACAGCGCGAATTCGGAGTACCGTTGATCGAAGTGCTCCAAAACATGCACGTTCCAGTTGACTGACTTCTAATGTTTCGGCAACCAATGAGAACATGTTTTAGTGTCGGGTGTTGATGCTTAGGCAAGAATGATGGTAATATAAAGATGCTCTTTTCATTCCAGATGTTCATTTTCAGGCAGCTACTTGTTTTAAGGGAGGTAGGGTCCTGGACCTGTTAGTGCAAGTTGTCTATTATTTGGCTCAACTCCCTTTTCTATGCATACAACTTAATTTCAATTGGAAAAAATTCCTCTATGAGAATAGGACCCTTGACAACGTTTGAGTGCATTTAGTAACTTCTCATTCACAAAACAAGAACTATTAAAAAAAACAGTGTTGAAAGCCTACCCTCTTCAAGCTTAAGTGAAAGTTTGTTTAAGTTGGTACAGTATAGTCGTATAGGTATAGCCGTATGGAAAGCCATGACTGTCTTCGTTGGTTATTTTTTCAGTTAGATGGTGCATATGTACTGATGTATGGTACTTGTGTGGGTGTCCAGGGTAGTTCTTTTATTGTGTGTGGTGAATTTCATATGATATCCGGTAATTTTTACGTCATATGCGATACCTGATACTTTGTATTGAGTGCCAGTATCCATTTCTACCGTGCAATTTCAACGTTTTAGGGTTTTTATTTAGTTGTATTTGGTGCCTTYAACATTTAATTTAGGTGGTCAAGCCTTCATGTAAGGWGACTAACCCCATAAGCTTCGGTGCCTACCGTAGTATACGCGGTTTCCAATTCACCACATTCAGCGCCTACTTAGTTGTGTTCGGTACCTATCTCATCGTGATTGACTCTTCTTTCCTTATGTTCTCTACCTATCTCGCTGTATTCGGTTCTTTTTCCCTCATATTCTGCTAATTTCGCATCATAAATAGCGCCTATCTWGTTATATTCGGTATTCGTCTCCATATATTTGGTGCTACTATCTTGATTGTTGGTGCCAGCTCCATTATATTCGGTYGAAAGTTGGCATTATATTATGTGAGCCAGTATTTTTGGTCAGCTGTATTCCCTTAAAAATTCGTTACCAGGCTCAGTTGATTCTTACTGCACGATAAAGTCTGGGGAGAGAATTCCGAGAGCCATCAGTATTTTCGGTCATCGGACTGTCACAAAAAGATCATGCTTCGTTTTAAAAGTCCCGCCAAAAACGCATAATCTGTATTTATTCCTTCTCTTTACATGTATTAGTAGTCGATTTACTACTYTGTGAACTAGTTAATATGGAAGGAATTCTTTCAAAATTGAATCTGGGAACGCTAATAGAGAGATTTAAGTCGGAAAGAGTGGACCCTGAGACAATTATTTCGGCGTCGGACAGCGAGCTTATTCGCCTTGGAGTTACCACCATCGGAGACCGCATTCGGCTACGTGATCTTTGTAAAGAACATCAGGCATCAGGATCTCCCAGTACAAGTGGTTTGTCATCAAGAACTGCCCGAGAAGAACGATTAGCCCTGTTTAACCCTCGTAATATTAATATTAGGCACAGATTAGGGAGATCGACTGATGGAGATGGCAGAGATAACAAGAGGAAGAAGACAAGTACCTCAAAGAGTTGGACCGTCCAGTTTGTGTGCTTGGCTGACAGATTTGCCACTAAAACCCCTACTTCCGTAGAGAAACAAATCCTATACAAAGCAGGTTTGGATTTGAAGAAGATTAAGCTGGATGTTGAAGACGATGAAAGTGAAGTGATCAATAAAATCACATCAGACGTGAAAGATCAGACCACTGGAGAGCCTTTGGGTTTCTCCGCCTTGYGTTCCTGTGGAGGTTTTGAAATGAAACAATGCCTACCCAATTGTAGGGATATAACTCTGATAAACTGCAAATAATAATAATAATAACTTTATTTAAGTCTCTATCTTCTAGCCGGGCACAAGTACCCTACTAATCGGGGAGACTAATGCAAATGGTCAGCAAAAGCTTTGAGAGCAAATCTAGGGGGAGGACAGGGGAAGATCTATCTCGTTCCAATCCAGAAGTCTCTCTCTACCAAGCCACTTGTGGAAGAAAGTCCCGAGTCTACTTTAATGGAAAAATACTCGAGATGCAATAAAGAGTTTCAAGTTAGAGTACTTAGGAAGCACCTGTGGGAGTGTACAGAAGATATTGGATCTGATGATGATCAAGTTCTTGAGCAACCTACATTTGAGAGAAGTTCTTACAGTACTTCCACAACCAACAATGTTGTTGACTTAACTGCTGTCAGTGAGACCACCCCAGCTCTTCAAGCTCCAACAACACTAACAGTTCCTTCATCTACCTCTTCCACTGTGGTTCATCAACCAAATACACAGACTTCTCCAGCTGATAGATTTACTTCCTCAACTGCTGTCTCTGCAGTCTCCTCAAGTCCCTCTGGTACCCTTTTAAATGAGACGGTGGATGAGGTAGCACTTAAAGTGCATAAGTACTGCATTGATAATGATGTGCACAATCCAGCAGAAATCCTTAGGTGCCTGCAAAAATTCATGGTTACTGGTAGAGAACTAGAAGTGCAAAGTGCGCAAGAGGTACAGGAGGGTGAAACTAATTTCATCATGGTAGATSGCCAAAACATTCTGGAAACTGCTCTAGATGAAATAAGCACCCTGACGGACTACAGAAAGACTCTTGAAGTGCAATTTTACAATGAGGTAACATTTAATTTTAGCAGTTTCATTTTTATCCATTGATGCAAACAAACTATCTTAAGGCTAAACAAATGTGTCTTATATCCCATTCACACCAAGGCTTAAACATGTTTTAAAGTGKTTTAACTAAACAGGTTTGAAAAACTATCTACGAACACTTCACAATATTTGGTGAAATAATGCATGTAAGCTATCCTTTGTCTTGCTCTGATAATATTTTAGAAAGTTTCATTATATTGTAGGTTTCTAGTTTCAATTTTTTTCTAATAAAAAAACATAGTTTAACTAAACACGTTTAGGTGTGAATGGGGTTTTAGTCTGTTGAGAAAATGGTCAAGTTATGATCATAATATGATTATTTGTGTTTTTCTAATACAATGTAGGAGGCACAAGATTATGGTGGGCCACGAAAAGAGTTTTTCCGTCTTGTCCTTAACGAGATCAAAGACACATACTTTGAAAATGGTTTGAGGGAACTCATGAGGGACAAGTATGTCACTATTGGGATAATACTGGGTAAGTTGCTAAACAATGATAAATTATAGTAACCAAAAAATTATAATTATTGTGGTATGACTTGCTTAGGTTTTTAATCTATTATACAACAGTACATCTTTAACATGCAATAAATCCCTGTATATTTCTTTCCTTCCTTCTTTCTTTCTGTCTTTCTTTCTTTCTCTTTCTTTATTTCTTCATTTTTTTTACTTTCACTGATACTAAGCTAGAGAATGTATTATCTATTGCTTAGTATCAGTGAAAAGTAAAAAAATGAAGAAAGAAAGAAAGAGGGAGAGAAGAAATAAAGAAAATTTCAGCATTAAAAAAACTTTGTCCATCTTCCCTTAAAGCATTGTTTATTTGTTAATAATTATTATTCATAACTGTGGTAGGAATAACGGTAAATATTACCACTTAGGTAGTTCTTTGCT